TTATTCGTCCGTGTCACGCCCCCCCCCCTTCCCCCCACAATCTTAATTAATTAGCGATTAATTTTGTTACATTAATTGTATTTTAGATTAATTACTGTTCCTTCAACTCGATTATTATTTCAGAATCGAATTCATTCTGTCTTGAAGCGTATTCAGAATTTTTATGCTCACAAAATTTTCTCAGATTTCTTTGCAATTTGGCTCATTTCCGAAGAACATTCGAATTTTCTTTGTCTTAAAAAAAAAAACAAAAAAATCCACATTTTCGTTTCGTTTTCGACTTATTGTCGTCGAAAAGAAGAAGAAATTCCCGTTTTCTTCGGTTTATCAGAATTTTCTCTTCATCGTTCCTTCAAAATTCGTTTGGAGAAACAAAAACTTGGCTTATTTTAAGATCGGTTTTCTTTTCCGCGAAAACGAGCGGGATGAAAACAAACTTTAAGGACTAATAATAACAGGGCGACAGTGATTATAACAGGATTAATTGGCCTCCACGTTGAAAGTCGACGCCGCGATAACCGTTCACGACGTCCCGATCGGATCGAGTTTCCGGGGGAAAGAACGGTTTCGGCCTCGAAGAAGAGGCAAAGAGCCGAAGGGACGAAGATTAATGACGGGTTTCGTCAGATTACGCGTAATGAGCGGACTCGTCCCTCACCCTTCCCATCCTACGATCCCTCCCCCTTTGAAAAACTGTCCGGATCCTAACTGCGGCCAGAGATTATTCCCTGTGTCCCTTAAAAATGAGTGAGAGTGGAACCACTGTCCAGATAAACGTTCCATTTACCTTCATTACTTTTTTCTTCTCTCGCTCTCTTTCTACCTTTTCAGATCGATCAGAGAATACGATCTCGCCTCTTCGTTAAAAGGAGTTAACTTGTTAACTTTTAAAACGAATATTAAAACTCGTTATGGAATCGAAAATATATCTTCAAAAAATAAGAAATCGGACTACGATAGAAGGAAATCCGAAAAAGAATTGATTTAACGATACAATGATTGTATAATAAAGGATATCTCATCTCAGAGTCAAAAGTTGTTCTCATATCTACGTATATAACAATCTAAAGATCGAATTGAGAAAAAATAGCACGAAAGAAATATTCTTCCCGGACAACGATCATACTCGTAGATAAAAAAAGAGAAAATAATAATCAGTGCAGGTTAAAACATCGCGCTCGTCCACCTTTGCACCCGAATCCAGAAAATACATAAATATATAATGCTAAAAAAAGAAGGGGGAGCCGTTGCGCCACCCATCCGGATCTCTAATTACGCGTCTGCGGGGGTGGAAAGCATGAGAACCGGGCCGCGTTGGCGCAAAGGGTTGGGAACCGACCTAAAAATAGCCGGGGCTCGGGTTAATTTTCCAGCGGGCGGAAAAAAGGAGGGTCGGGGAGGGAGAGGTGGGGAGGTGCGTTTGAGGGGCGGTCGACGTGCGTTTAAAACTTTCCTTTCGGCTCCGAGGCTGGAGAAGTCAAAGCTCCGGCGACAGCCTTTGAGCGGCGAAACCTCCGCTGTTCCGGGGTGTCGAAGAAAGCAGGGGTTGCGAGAAGCGAGAAGGTTCGGTTGGGTTTTCGCTCCGTCGCCTTTCACCTTCCCCAGGGTGTGACCGGCCGGCCAACTGACCGGAAACGCCTCGAAATCGATCGGAGAAACGCGTCCAGTTCCAGGTAGTTTCTTTCGAAGCTCGAGAAAAAGTTTGGTTTCGACGCGGGCGGAACTTTCGTCGATCCGATATTTTTGGATTTTCGTGGAATTTCGAAAGTTTGTTCGACTCCTGAAAATTTCTCGATGGTTTGCTTGTTCCTCGATGGATACGCGCAGCAATATTTTTCTATTAATAACGTTCGAAACGATGGAGGTATTGGGAAATGGTGGATTTTTATCGTGGATTCGGGCGACGATATCTTGCGAGCATTGCGAGTTCGAGTTTGGAAGTGGGACGGTGAATGAAATCGTAAATTCGCACGATGGAATTCACGTTTGGTGGGGCTAGTAATATCGGGAATCGTGTATCGTTGTTGATGAACGACGTTGTTTGGAAGGACGAAGTTGAAAGTATCGGTGGTCCTCGCGTACGTACGGGAGAATGTGGAATAATGGAGAAATAATGCAGAAGCTTTAAGGGCGAGAAATTCAAGCGGGTTAGATTGATGAGGTTTGCCCGAACTTGGTCTTTTCTTGATAACTTAGGGGGAGGCTCGCTTGTTTTTCCATCATCCATCACTCGCGAGAGATACGCGAAAGAAGGTAAAGAGGGCCATAAAGAGCGGCAAATATTTGCGACGACACCAAGGTCATCGAAGAATCCTTATATCGATTCTCGATGAATACATTTAATCGATCCCTCTAAGCGTCGCGATATCCTGATTTGGAATCTTGGATAGATCGTTATTATTATTATTACTCATCGACTGTGATTTTTTTCAAAAGTTCTAATCTTTCGAGAATTCTTCTCGAAATTCTTTCGAAATTGCGTTATTTCTACTCTTCAACTTCCCTCTCTCCTCCCCCTTTAATCCTATATACAGTTTGAAATTACTTGTTGCGAATTCAATTCGAACGAAAAATTCCTCGCGCACGTCAAAACTTGAAATTTAAATTAAAATAAAAGAAGAGAGACTGTCTAAGGTATACACGACCGTATATACATGTATAGGAGAAAAATAACGTATAAGGAAGGAAACACGGGGGTCGAAGAGGCAATTTGAAACAGTCACCCGGAGCAATGGTAGTAGGATGTCTACGATGTCAGGTGGAGAGAGACAATTTTCGTTTGGACGGTTCGTATTTGGGGAGGCGAAGCCCGCCCTCGAAAACCACCCTCGAACGCGGATCAAGGGCAAGAGGAGGGGGAGGGGGAGAAACTTTTCCATTCGGCGGAGAAGATACTCTGCCGGTTTCTCCGCTAACGACGGAAAACGAGCTCGGGACCTTCCGCCGTAAATCCGTCGCGCCAGGAAACCGGAAGTGGAGGGTAACCGAATCGTCCTTGGGGGAAAGAAAGAAAGAAAGAAAGAAAGAAAGAAAGAAGGGAGACGGGGGATTCTTGTTAATCTCGCGAGCGATTTCCCGTGCAGCGGGGGAGGGGGACGGAGAGGAAACACGGCGGACGATGCGTGATGCATGAACCGGAAGTGGGGTGGCCCCGCGTGTCTCGCATACTCTTCGACCGTTTAAAGAACACGAGGGCCCGTCTTCCCGCGCGGGAATCGAATTCCTTCTCGTTCTATATCTCTCGATTTATCCTTTGTTATCGCGTCTTGTCTTCTTTTCTTTCTCTTTTCTTTTTTCCGTTCGTCTTTGAATTTCACTGATTTCAGCTTCGAGAAGAGAAAAAGATATCTGTCCGATCCGATTCCAAATCGGTCAAATTTGATGGAACTGCGAAGGAGATGTTATGTAAGAAAATAAGATGGGAGATAAAAAGGAGATATTGGATCTTTTTCAATTCCAACAATCAGAAATTATTGCACCGGGGTGTTTTGTATTAGACGCAAACTGGGCGAACAATGTGAAGGGGAGGGGAAAGTGGGATGTCTGGATATGGCTCCCGCGGGAAAAACCAGCCGATCTTTCGCGCCCTGATCAACGGTTCATCCCTTCTCCTTCCCTTGCTCCCCACGTTTCGTTCCAATAGCTTGCCTCGACTCGGAGAAACGCCGAAAATTGACCGGAAAATTTATTCGAATATATCCTTCTATTTTATAGGAATACCTAAACCATAACGGTTAATCCACGCATACACATACTCTTATTCCTTCGTGTTATAAGTTTTTAAAAAAACGAGATAAAATTATTTGTATATTAATTATTCGCAAATTTTTCTTTGCCACGTCGAATCGACAATTAATCCTGTTTATTAAATCTAGATTTCCGATATCTAATTGAATAATCGTCGCACAATGTCGAAAGATATTCTATTCTATGAAAATATCGTAAATTAATTTATCCAGATAAATTAATTAAATAAATTATTTTTCTGGAATATTCAATCACAATTATCTCTAATCGTAGAGATATACACGAAGTGGAGAGAAAGTCGAAAAAATTTTGTAATTTTATTAATTATTTTCGATGAAAAAAAAGGACAAACGATTCTCGAATCTGATTGAATTCGCGGATATTCATTTTTTTTTTAGTTATTATCGCAAAGCGTAGATTTTCTCTTTTCTTTTTTTCCTTAACGAAAATTTGAGTGGAATAGTTGGCATAATAATAACTCGGCGTAGAAGTAAAGTTATAATATTATTTCGCGTAAAGGAATATTTGCAGCGGTTGAAATGCAGGCTTCGTTGTCGGATACCTGCTAAAATATTACTTATCTACGGGCAAATACGTAAATACTTTGGGTTTCAGTTCTCTGTATATAGCGAATATTACGCGAGAAATTCTTGAAAACGTTTCTATGGTTACATTCTACGTGAAACCGGAGACACGAGATAACCAAATACACGTTTAACTTGCAAAATTTCATTCCTAGAATTATTTCAGCAAACAAATATTCCTCTTCGTTTCCAAACCAGATTTTTTCTCTCTCTCTCTTTCAGAAAATTTTAAAATCTTCTTGTAAAATTTGAAAGATAGAATTGTGTTTTAATCTCAATCATAGATTGATCCACAGACTTATTTATGCAATCGATAAACGACCGATTAAATATTCTATCCACCCTCAACTTAACCTTCCCTCAGGCAACAACCCCTTACCGGTTAATGGTTTTCCATATCTCTTCGAACTTGCGAATCTCGAATCTCGGGGACTGCGTTGGCCATTAATAACTGGCCAACACGAACCACGCACCCATTCGAACTAAATTGGATTAATAAAACCGGATTAGCCTCGTTTAAATTCGATAAATCGAGAACGTGGCCCTCGTCGGGGAAAACTCGTGAAAACTCGTGTGTCTCGCGTGCTAATCATACGAAATACGTTTACGAATGATTTAACGATTCTTATCATCCTTTTATAGCCAAAAAAGGAAACAAAGAAAGAAAGAAAGAAAGAAAGAAAAAACAGCCAAAAGAGATTGAAGATTTTTATTCCATCCGCTGCATCGATACAATTGCTACTTCGCCGGTACTCGCCTCACGCTCGCCTTTTTTACAACCCCGTGTCCCCCCAGGTCACGTTTGAATTTTTCCGCACACGTGGCTGGCTCTCCGCTCTCGGTCATAAAAGAGCCAACGAAGCAATTGAAAACTCGAGCCGCGGTTTATAGGCATCCGCCTGTATATTTCAGACGTTTCCACCGGACCTTTCTTCTCTGCTTTCACACTTCTACTAGGCCTACCTTTTCGTACCTAACAAAAAAAAAGAAAAAAGGAACTCCTTACTTTTTTCTTTCCCTCCCTCGCGTCGCTTTAATCCTCCAAAATTCTCCATCTCTCTTCGAAAACTCTTTATCTCCCCTCGAAAACTCCCCATCTCCCCTCGAAAACTCCCCACCTCCTCTCGAAAATTCCCCACCTCCTCTCGAAAAC